GGGCGGCATTTGATGCGGTAATTGAGCGCCGGTTAAGTGTGTCGCCGATGAGAGCGGCAACGAAGGCGGTCGCGGGGCCGGTGGCGGACCCGATGGATAACTTAACGGCTGCTGAGCGTTGAATGGGTTCGATGTGGACAACCAATTGGCTGCTCCGGGCGCTGGTGTAGGCACTGATAGTGAGCGATGATTGTCTGGCGTTTGCTGATAGTCTGGTGTTGTTGTGTCGCCAAACAGCGCGCCAATGACTGTCACATAACCCAGAAAAATATGTGAATTAATAGTGAATATCGAAAAATAAGGTAAAATTAAAAAATAAAATAAAATAATGTAATGCTATTCATGCCATGCATTTGTTTTGTTTGATTACACAACCGCTAAACACGACAACACTATACCTATTGAATTGTAATCTAATAACTCATGCGATTTATCGCCAATTGCCTGATAATCAATGGCCGGGTTATAGCGGGACGACAGTAGCGACATATCGGCCGCCGCGGCGCTCATCTTATTGCTAATATCATTACCCAAACTGTAATCAATAGGTTTACCTCCAGAGGGCGACCCGTTTGGCGCCACATCGGTAGCGACCGGTGGTCTCTCACCGGTGGTGGCGGTCATCGGCGACGTCTCCGCACGCGTGTCGACCACTGGATCGCTTCTTACGGCCGACTTATCTAGCGTTGGTCTCGTCGGCGAGTCGTTGTGCTCTTTGTTAAACAACGCGTTCAATGAGCGCGACTTATAGTGATGTCTGGGCGGCGATTGCATGTCCGGCGCGGCGCTCATCGGCGGCTCCATCTCGATGTCGTCCAAACTGACCGACGAAACCGGCGAATAGGGAAAAGTCAGGTGAGTGTCGACCGCTTCGGCCACAGCCGGCGCCGCCTTATCGGTGTTGTCGGTTGGCTCGGGTGTAAGTACGGCCGTAATAGTGGTGGTAGTAGTGGGAAAGGGAGTGGCAGTGACCGACACCACACGGGTGGGGCTGTGGTGGATGTCGTCGCCATCCCGCACGGTATCCAACATTATGTCGTCATTGAATGTCAAGTCAAACAAGTGGTCGTCCTTTCGCTCATTGAGTCTCGACGTGAATATATCGGTAAAACTCTTAAACACAGGCCTTTCGGGCGCTGTTTCCTCAACAGTGTCTAAAAATATCCAAAATAATAGTTAATAAAATGTTTTGTCAATGTTTTTATTCATTCAAATGTCTTATAATTAATATCTGTGTTTAAATTGTAAAAAATTGATCAAAAACTTATGTCAAATGAATGTAATGCAGGAAAAGATTATTTACCAAAAACATGAATTTTTGAAATTAAAAAATTAATATTTCAATCAAAAAACTAAAAATCATGTCATTTGTGAAAAACAACACATGAAGCCAACGGTAGGGCAAAAATACAGCGAATTTTGTTAAATCCAAACAACAATTATTATAAATGCAAATCATATGTAAAGTATTTCACCGATACGTCCCGTGAAATACAATAATTTTTTGCTGTTTTAAAACAATCTATTCGTGTCATGTATTATGGCTTGTATGAGAAAGTGAGACAACATTTATCATTTAAATTCAAAACAAAAACGAGAGAGAGAGAGAGAGAGAGAGAGAGAGAGAGAGNTATCGGCCGCTGAAACGCCGCCGTAGTATCGAAACTAACGCTCAACACAACGGCGGCTCCGCAGCGGCCGCCGCCACCACTTCATCACCGCATTCATCGACCACTAATACCGCCGCCGCCGCGACGGCACACAAATTGCTCAACAAAAAGGGTACCGACGGTCGACACAAAGCGGCCAAAGAACTCAAAAAACTCAATAAACACGGCTCCTTGTCGTCGTCGACGCTCACCACTACTACTGACCACCGCTCACGTCATTCCGACCCACCGCTCATCACTCTATGTATTGTTGTTTACAAATGATTTGATTTGTTTTGCAATTAATATGTTTTGTTGTTTCCACTTCTTTGTTGACCACTTCTAGCGAACAATACGTTGGCCGACAAAACACCGGAGCCGACGGCCAATGATTCGCGCAAACGTTCATCACTACCGCCGCCGCAGTCGAAGCGAAGATCTCGCTCTACGAGCGGTAGCCGTCGCTCGTCAGTGAACTCTCGCCGCGACAGCGCCTCTGCCTCCGCAGCCATCGTCGCCATCACCGCTGAAGACAATACAAATTCCGATCCTATGAGAGGAGCGCCGGATCCGACAGTCAGCCGACGAGGTAACTGTCCATTGAGTGGCACTCTTGTTGTGTTGATGTTGTGATTGTGTAGTGTATGGAAGAGTTGTTGCTTTTCTCTCTCCCATTCTCTCTTTCACTCGATATTGAATTCAATACAATTGTCTGTATATTTTTGTATCCATTCTCTCTCTTCTCATTTGATCCAATAGTTTCATCAGAATCTGAAAATTCTGTCCACATTTCTGATCCAATGCTTGTGAACAAAAAGCCCGAAAACTATTGCTCTGACTTCGATAGCCTCTCCTCTCAGGACTCCTCGGCCAACGGCCAGTCCTCGCAAGCGGTCGCCGCCGACAACGAGAATCAGTTGTCGGCGACAAACCATTCGCTCAATAATCAAACCAATGATAAGACCATAAATACTAACACTAATACCGCTAACGATAATCATAAGCAACTCAATTACGAGCCGCAAGTGGTGTTAGAGCGGCTGCCGAAGTATAAATTCAAGCGACTCCTGTCCGATAGCTATAAGGCCTCGTATGAGATCATTAAGTGCGGCGCCAGTGATAGTGTGACCAATAGTCAGGCCATTATTGGCGACAATAATAGCGAGATGTTGAACGAGATAATAGGCAAAAGCGATTTGAATAATAATCATACCATTAGTGATGAGAGTAACGCCGGCGTTGAGTCCGCTGACCAGTCGAAGACTATTGTCGATAGGGTTGTGTCCGCTTTGAGTTCAGCGCAGAGTAAGGGACTGCCTATTGATGATGTGATACCAGTCGAGTCCATTCCGCTCCCACCCGAGCCCTTCCCACTCGTTGCCACTCCAGAGCCGCCGCCCCCGCTGTCCGACACTCTCTCAGACACCGACAACGATCGCGGCGTCGAACCGATAGTCTGTTCGCCAATTGTCGCCTCAACTGTTGCCGCCGTCGATGAAGATGTTGGCCAACGATCACCCGAACAACAGCGACAACAATCTCATGACAGCGCCATCGAAACTGCGGTCAACTCTATTGCCATTGAATTGGATGGCGAGTTGTCGCCTAACAGATCCGTCGAGATCTCTGTCGAAGACTCTGTCGAGCAAACGGTCGCCACAACCGACTCGTCAGCCGCTGCTGAAGAAGCGATGAACAAAAGTATTTCAGTTATGGCTCAAGAGATCAGAGACCAGTTGAGAGAAGAGGACAGTGAAGAGATAATTACCACCGAAGAAGTCGGCGAAGTTGTAAATACCACTGAAGAGGAGTTGATCACTGCTGACGATCTCGACGATGATATACACACCGCTGATGAGATCACCACTGAAGAGGTATTTGAAGAGATAATAACCGGAGATGTGGTGAACGAAGATCTCGTTATGATTACCGAAGAGATCAGCGAACAAGTGATCGACTCAGACGAGGCTAACGAAGAAGTGATGACCACTGAAGAGGTTAATGAGGAGATAATAACCGACACAGAGATCACCGAAACGGTGGTTAACAACGACTCGTCAGAGTTGGAGACCAACGAAGAACTGATTACCGCTGATTCGTATGAAGTGATTGTCGAAATGGACGCAAAACAAGATAACGATAATATTGATGGCAGCGAAACGCCTGCCGAAGAGGTGGGAACAGATGTCGACCAACAAATAGTGATAGATGTGAACGACAAAGATGTGATGGACACCGAAACGGAGGGCGAAGTGATCACTGCTATACCAGTGGACGAGAACGGCAACGAACTCGACATCGAAAGAGACATAATGTTTGTCATATCAGACGATATCGTTGTCGACGATAGTGTCGGCGAAAACAGCGCCGAAGAGTCGCCTAAAGACTTAGCAGTAGTAGAAGTGGCCGTCGATTACGGCAACGAACCCGAAATGGACGCCACAGAGACGGCTGCGGCTATCGCTGGCATTGACGAAGAGCTGGTCGCCGGCAAAGACACCACTACTGCCGACAGAGTGTCCGAAAGTGATTTACACCATAACTCGAGATCATTTGAAGAGCTGGACTCAGAACAGCCGACACCACTGCAGGACGAGGCGTACGACACGTCTGCCGGCGATCGGACACCACTGCTCGACGAGCGCTACGACGGAGACCAGACACCGGTGCGCGACGAACCCCAAGACACTTACGACAAGAACTGTTTGAGCGACAGTAGTGTCGCCCCATCGCCGGCCATCGATGTCATCACGAAAGACATCATAGATAGCGGTCAGTTAACGCCTGCGGCCGACTCAGTGGTTAACAACGACGACTCGATTGACGCCAATCTTGTGGTGAGACAACCGTCGCTGTCCGTCGAGTCGGTCGACGACCGCTCTCTGGACGACCAGCAGTCGGCGAGTGGCGGCCCAGAAGTGGACAAACAATTACTGTTTGACAACACATTGCGCGAAGAAGTCGTAGAGAAACAGACTCTCGGAAAGGGTATAAAATATTTGCATAGTTTTACTCTCACTCTCATAGTTCCCGCTTATATTGCCATTCATTGTCCCGCAAACCATCACTTTGTCTCGCATTTTGTGTAATGATATTGTTTTTTACCATTTGATGGCATTTTAATGTGTGTTTGATTTGGTTTTTTGCTAACTATTTGTTGAGTATTTTTTCTCCTGTTTTTTACTTTCCATTGAAAACTTATAATTTTCTTAATTTTGTTTTTTCTTATTTCTCGTTATATTTCTACTAAAATATATGCTGTAATGTTAATGTGTTTTTATGGTTATTATTATTATTTTTTGTTACCATTGATTTTTATTATCAATGTTTCCATGAGAGCCATACGTTTGCGGCAAAGACTGTCTCTGTCTCTCTATATATACACTGTATGTGTGTTTTGAATGCAAATAATGTCACATTTAATGTCTCTTATATTTGTGTTTTATTGACTGAAGACTTTTACACTATATTTTTATAACACATATTCAGTATAGATATTGAATGGCATTAAGAAAACAGTGGCTAAGAATTGACAACTTCTTTGTGTTGAGAATAGCATTGAGAGAG